TTGCAAGGAGATCTCTATGAAGAGGTTTATATGTCTTTACCTCAAGGATTTGGCATTCAGGGGGAGAATCACATGGTCTGTAGATTGCTCAAATCCTTGTATGGATTACAGCAAGCAAGTAGATAATGGAATCACAAACTTACTGAAGCACTAATCAGAAATGGTTATTCGCAAAGTAAATATGATTACTCATTATTCACCAAACGAGAAGGAAGCAACATAGTCATTTTACTTGTCTATGTTGATGATATTTTGATAACAAGAAGTTGCATTAAAATGATTGATCAGTTGAAGATTATTCTGCAAGACAATTTTGAAATCAAGGATCTTGGTCATCTTAAATACTTTCTTGGAATTGAAGTTGCTAGGTCCTCTGAAGGGATTGTTTTGAATCAAAGAAAGTATGCACTTGAGTTGGTTTCAAAGGTTGGATTATCTGCTGTAAAGCCTGCTGACACCCCTCTTGAATAGAAGTTGAAATTGACTTCATATGAGTTTGATAAGAAATTTCCACCATATGAAAAGGATGAGTTGTCAACAGATCCTATTATGTTTAGGAGAATGGTGGGAAGATTGTTATATCTGACCATGACTAGGCCTGACATTTCATTTGTTGTCCAGACCTTAAGTCAATAGATGCAGTCTCCTAAACAATCACATCTCGAAGCAACATTACGAGTTATAAGATATGTGAAGAAGGAGCCAGCTCTTAGGTTGCTTATGTCTGCAAAAAGTACAAAAGAGCTGGTAGCATTCTGTGATTCAGATTAGGCTTTTTGTGCTATAAGTAGAAAATCAGTGTCAGGTTACTGCATTAAGATGGGAGATTCTCTTCTATCTTGGAAATCAAAGAAGCAAAATACCATTGCAAGATCATCTGTAGAAGTAGAGTATAGAAGTATGGCTAGAACTGTTGCAGAATTGATTTGGTTAACTCGTTTACTTAAAGAACTTGATGTTGAAGCCAAAATTCTAGCATTGCTTTACTATGATAACAAAGCAGCTTTGCAAATTGCAGCAAACTCCATGTTTCATGAAAGAACAAAACACATAGAGATAGATTGCCACTTCATAAGGGAGAAAAATCAAAATGGCTTGATACTTACAAAGTACATACCAACTAGAGAACAATTAGCAGATGTAATGACAAAAGGCTTGGGAAGGTTACAACATGAAAAATTTATGTCCAAGCTGTGTATGAAAAATATTCATAAGATGCCAACTTGAGGGAGAGTGTTGAGATTCAAGTTGGCACACGTGAGGTGTGAGGTAGCTTAATTAGTTAAGAATCAGTTATGCTGACTTGTAGCTAGTTGAGAATCAGTTATGGGATAAGCTATATATATATATACACACATAGCAATGTAACAGATTTTCTAATCAATGAAAAATCATTCTTTACATTACTCTTTCTCGAATTCTCTCTTGTTTTCCTTCTTCTCAATTCACTTGCCCCCAAATTAACATTTTCAACATTAGCATGTGGGGAGAAATCGTTTTTGTTAGGCTGTAAAAGTGTTCCTGGAGGTAATATTAATATATTATTAGGAGGAGATAGTACCATAAATAAAACTAGCAACTCGTGGAAATTGAAGAAAATTTATATCTTGATTCCATGCTTTATACACATACCATGTTCTTCAACAGAACAAAAAATGCAGAGAGATCCATCAGAGTGGACATAGAATCAGTCGATGAGCATGCCAAACTTAATATGAATGCTTTGAAATCTATTAGTTCCTAGACATTGTAAACATCTTCTAATCTCAAAGTTTGATCCTAATGAAAAGAAAACTGCCATTTATAAAGTTGCCATTTGGTTCAGTGTGCTTAGTTTTTCACGACCCTCAAATTTTTTGGTTAAAGAAACAAAAAGTGATTATAGAAAACAAAAATTTGGATCCCCTTACGTCTCGCATACTAAACGAGCGCTCTACCATCAGACCTACATCCCCATTTGAAAGCTAAAGCCTATAATAGTTTTTTATACTAACAACATCAATTAGTTAAGTTTGTGTAAGTTCCCACCAAAACAAAAGCCATAGCCACTGACAGTGACGATCAAACTGCAACAAAATGCTACTTAGACGACTTACTACAACATTCCAATTCTCTACGTGTCCTCTACACAAAACATCTCTCAATCCTCTTCTTCTTCTTCTTCTTCTTCTTCTTCTTCTTCTTCTTCTTCTTGTTGGAATCTTAACTCCTAAACACTCATTATGTCAAACACTTAGATGATCACATAGAGAAACCCCAAGCAGCTCCCAAGCATTAACGGGCATGTTTTGTGCTATCAAGATGAATTTTTCGCATGTGAATGCAAATTTTGAAATTGAAATGGTTATACAGTTAGTTTGACTTGATACAAGAACATGCCACATTTGATCAATAGGTATAGTTGATTTTATGAAATGAGTTAAAGATGATTCAAAATGGGTTGCAAAGTTGGTAATATAATCAAACTAAAAATATGTGGTTAGGTGTAAGAAGATTACAATGGAGTTTCCTATGATTCATTTTTCAATACATGTGAACTTACTCCTTCTACTTGAAGCCGATTGTCATAATTGCTAGGTTTTCAGTTCCATGGTGGGCCAATCTCCATTGCAAAGTATATGGAGGAAGTTTTGACAAATCCTAAAGCTAGGTTCTTTATCAGTCGTGATGTATTTGGAGCCGAAGGTGATTTTATAACCTCACCTGAACTAAGCGAGATGTTTGGACTTTGGAGAGGTAATTTGGTCTCTCTTGGTCTGTCTTACACTTGTCTCCTTGTAACTCATTAAAAAGCATTCAAGGAAGTTACTTGCCTTAATGTTTTAATAACCAACCTAGGGCAAAACCTGGCAAGCTGGCCAGGTCCTGGGTCGACCAGTTGAACCAGTTAGTTCAACCAGTGACGTCAGTATGCTAACATCAACGAAGTTACTATTCACAGAGTCCATAATTCCAGAAATTTCAAATCAGGATCCAAATCATAAATTCCTAACATCATCATGCTAATGAAAATAATTGTGGTCTTTAGATATTCATATATAGAACTATGGAACTATGCATAGTATGTATAATCACTATAATCTAAGTGTAATGGATTAAGAAATGCCTCGGCCAAAAGCAAAATATAATTTTGTGTTGCCATTTTACAACATACTCAAATGTAATGTGGGTACATAACGATTGCTGATTTCTTATTTAGCTAGCAAATACATTGAACACTAAGTTTGTATACATAAATGATTAGGTGGTCAAACGCACATTCTCAAATACACTGAACACTAGGTTTGTATACACTGAATTACTTCTGAAAAGGAAACTTGAAACCATATTTGTCACACAAAATTCTCAGATATTGAAATCAGAAATCCTTCAATGCCTTGCTTCAAATATAATTGAATAGAAGTAAAGTGAATACTTTAATGTAGATAGGGAGTAAAGAACAAAGGAAGCACTGACGAGTGCGGACATTACTTGGCAAAGATGAGCTATTGTTGATGTCAGAGAGATAGAGCTCGACGGTGAAGAGGCACGATCGCTCAAATGGGAGGAAGAGACGACAGTTCCTGGGCAAGATGAGCTACAACTGATGACAAAGAGGAGGAAATCGACGATGAATAGACCAAATCGGCGGTGAAGACTAAAGAGAGTAGATCGCGAAATGGGAGGAGCAGTTGACAACGAAGAGAGGAGATCTCGATACTAGTTGATGACGAAGAGGAGGAAGTTCACACCTGCACGATGAAGAGAGGAAATCGATGGTAAAGTGGAGTCACGGTGGAAGAATTTCAGACCAAGAGTGCAGAGAAATGGCGTATAAAAAGAGAGGGGGGGGGGGGGGGGGGGGGGGGGGGGGGGGGGGGGGGGGGGGGGGGGGGGGGGGGGGGGGGGGGGGGGGGGGAGGAATCATTGAAATTTCAGTTTAAGGGATATATTGTTTATTTTGTTTGGGACCCAGTTTTTTAGAAAAAACGGTTGGACCGGAGGTTTGCTATAGTACACCAGTCCAACAGTGGGTGTAAGTGGGTAGTTGTAAAATAGTACTTTTTATCCTCAACTAGCCCGGCTCACCGGCCGGGTCCCAATCAAACCAGTTCAAGCGGGCCAAATTTTAAAACATTGATTTGCCTTGGTACATACTGGTATTTCAACTTATGTTGTTTGGTTATCACAAAACAATTGATTCTTTTTCCCACTGATGAGATTCAAATGGTTGTTGTTTGGACCATGTGTCTTTGGAAGCAAATGGGGCAGCCGAATAGAGTGAGCCTTGTTGAGCTGAGTACAGGTCCAAGAACTCTCATGGTTCACATTCTTTGTGTATGAGACAATAATTACAGATATGTATCATTTTTATATATTTGTATTTTACGTTTTTTTTTTCAGTGATTTTGGAATATGTTGCGATTAACCCTTAAATGTTCGCACCATATCATCGTGGAAATCCTAACTAGTCAACCAAGCCTATTGTCATTCAATCATAGATGTTAGTTCAGACTCAAACCTAAATGTTAAATAATCACCAAGAAAAAGGAGTTCTGTTGTCCCTGTTTACATCATTTTGTAACCTTAAAAGTCTCGTTCAAAAATTGGGCTAGTTTTGATCATGAAAGAAGAGTTAATTTCGTTTTCCCTCTCAAGTTTAGCTAAAAGCTTTATTTTGAGAATCTTTGGCATCTTTGTTTTGTTGAGATAGGCAAATGGACACTGGTGTTTAATCCTGCTCAAGTTTTTTCTTTTTTCTTTCGTTTTCGCATTCTTAATTAGTTTCAAACTAATAAATCATTAGTTATTGATCTTTTCATTTTGTTCATTAATTGTTTAATTAAGACTTGGAAGATAGATTATGACAATATTTTGTCGAGGCTAGAAGACGAAGAAAAAGTTTTATTTACTATTTGAACATTCAAAAACTATATATATTAAACGAAATCCATGACTTTTCTAAATGTAAATGTTGAAACCTCCTGTGAAAAAAAGAAAAAAGAAAAAAAAAAGAGGCCAAATAAAAGAACTTGGTACAAGATTGTTACTACAGAACTGTGAAACACATCCACGCCTAATCCTCAGATTCATCAACTGCATAAATATTTTGGTTTCTCATCTCTGATATGGAAATCTCATGAAAAGGTTTTGCCAATGGTGCCTTGCGGCTAAGAAATTCTTGAGACACACGATGCATTGTAGGTCGTGACTTTGGTTTGGAACTTAAGCAAGCAAATGCTATTCTTGAAATAAGAGCAATATCCTGCACAACCATTGTGTCCATAACACATGGAAGGCGTGGGTCTAACAGATCAATAAGCATCATATTTTGAGTAGAAGAAGATGATAATGATGAAAGTAGCTCTCCTGGATGACAACCCATCAATGCTTCAAGTGCCACCACTCCAAAACCATATACATCGCATTTCTCAGTCACAACCATGGTATAAGCAAGTTCTGCATAGAAAACCAGAAATCCTTAAAAAGAAATAATAAGATATACTCATCTAATTTACTTTCAAAATATTAATATATCTATGTGTTAAACATGTTGCTTCAATTATAAGAATCACAAATATTTATAAGAAGAGTAACATAGTACTTCACCTGGTGCTATATATCCATAAGTGCCGGCTAATATGGTTCTATTGGAGGAGTTAGGATTTAGAAGTCTAGCCAACCCAAAGTCAGCAACAAATGCTTCCAATTTTGAGTTTAGTAGAATGTTGTTGCTTGATATGTCACGGTGAACAATTGATGGAGTGCAATCATGATGTAAGTAAGACAAAGCATGTGCCATATTCTTAACTATGTTCACCCTTTTACTCCAATCCAACTCAATAGCTTCATTATTGTTGCGTAGAACACAAAACAAGCTTCCCCTCTCCATGTACTCATAAATTAAAAACATGCATTTTTTATGTAAACAAAATCCATAAAGCTTAATAATATTTCGATGTCGTAATTTGGACAGTACATGGGCCTCGTTTTGGAAACTGTTGAGTAAAGTTGACTCCTCAGTTTCTAAATTGTGAAGCTTCTTCAAAGCAACTACTCTGCCATTTGGTAGTTGTGCCCTGTAAACACTACCATAACCCCCAGTTCCAACGCAGTATTTGATGTCAAAGTCCTCTGTTGCTTCAATAATGTCTTCAAATGCAATTTTACCATCATAATTCCAAATTGAAAACACATCTCCAACCTTGGTTGCCCTTGTCTCGGGTTCAGCTTTTTCATCCTTACATTTAAGGAGAATCAAGAGTCCAAATATTAAGATGGTGAGAAATGTGGTGATAGGAAGCAAAATTATAAGAAGAGGAGAGACATTCTTTTGGGGTTTAGGAGAGACCTTCATTTGGGGTTTAGAAGGTGTAAGACTAGGACAAGCGGAAAAGCCTCTATCAACTAGGCCACATAAACCTTTATTACCACTAAATTGTTGTTGTCCTTGAGATTGCAAACCAATTGGAATTTCACCCTCCAAATTATTGTATGACAAGTCAATGTAATACACTGTATGGAGTGATTTAGGAATGGTTCCAGAAAGATTATTGTGCGAAAGATTTATATATAAGGATTGGGTGACATAAATTTCTCCAAGTTGAGAAGGTATGTTCCCAGTGAGTGAGTTATATGACAAATCAAGAACATGAAGACTTTGAAGGTTACTAATCTCTGATGGAACGCTTCCGCCAAATCTGTTTCTAGAGAGGTTTAGATATCTAGGGTTGAAGAGTTTTCCAATTGCATTCAATATATGACCAGAAAGGAAATTTGAGGAAAGATCGAGATAATGAAGATGGACTAACTGAGTAAGCTCATATGGAATGGAGTGGTTGAGTTGATTATGACTAAGATACAAAAAGGTTAGATGAATTAAATGTCCTAGAGTTGAAGGAATAGGTCCAATTAGGTTGCTATGACTCAGATCTAAAAAAGTTAGATTCTTTAGATTGCCAAGCTCTGGAGGTAACAAACCTCCAAGTTTGTTGGAAGAAAGATCTAGGTGCTCCAAGTTAGTTAAATCACCTAAAATTGAATGGATTGATCCTGTAAAATTGTTACCAGACAAATTCAAATAGGTCAATTTGGTCAAAAGACCAATAGTTGAAAGGATTGGTCCACCAAGTTTGTTTAATGACAAGTCCAGTCTCATGAGATTGCTTAAGCTTCCAATTTTTGGAGGGATAATACCTTCAATTTAATTTCCAAATTAAAAAAAAAAAAAAATTGTCAATTTAATTGGATTCACCTCTTATTTGAAATGATAAACCAAAAAAATAAAAGAAAATCAATAGCCTACCTGTAAGATTATTATTGGATAGAGATAGGAATTTGAGCTTTGAAAGTGCACCAATTTGTGATGGAATGCTTCCGGAGAGATAACTCTGTACCATACTGAAGCTTTCGAGGTTGGGAAAGCAAGAAAAGTTAAATCGGCTAAGCTCTCGTTCTATGTAATAAGAGCTAAAAAAATCTATCTCAGTGATGCTTCCTGCTGAATTGCAAGTGATACCAACCCATTCGCAATGATCTGAAATATTGTTGCTGGTATCCCACCAACTGGTGTTAAGTAGAGCTTCCTTTTCTAATTCAGATGCGACTACCATTATATCAGAAATATTAATAGCAAAATAACATGTAAATATAGTAGCCCATATGACCACCACTCTTGAAATGAAGGAATTTAACACCATGTTTAAAACCTTCTGCTTGGTTCAGCTAGATATTCTCTCTACTTGAAGCAAGTTTATATATATATATAAGTTTGAAGGTAGCTAAACCTCCATTTAATTGGTCGGGCATGGCTCTGTTATCTCAAATTCAACCTCTTTTTGACTTGAGAAGACTATGACCTTAATAAACACTCCCAGAATATATATAGATGATCTTTTATAAGAATATTAATATATATACATATGGTAGATAGCTGAAGTCAAAATCCTTTCGGAGCAAGTTGTCAACTGAGACAATTCATTATAATTTTAGAAAGTTACACACACGTACATATATAAGGTTAATTAAATGTCTTTACTCAGATGTTATATTTTTACATCTATCGTTCAAAAAAAGTTTTAGAAACTAAAAGATACATATTCTAATTAATTAATAAGTATAATAAATCTCAAATTTAATGAAATTAAATAGAATAAATTTACATATTATTAAATGCAAAGTAAATGAATTATTAATGATTAATACTTAGAATTGTGATATGATGGACCACACCAGTCAAATAATGGACAGATTGGCCTACACGGTTTCAAATAATAGGTTGTACAAATAATTCAATCTCATAATGTGCTTATTGTTGCTAGTCTTTTTCACATACTATCAATTGTCAAGCTTTTCACGTTGTTGGATTGTTTTCACATACTATATATATATATATATATATATAGAGTTAATAACATCCTGTATATTGACATAATATAATATTATCATATATATAATACAAAATATAATATTCATATGTAATATAGTAGCAAATTAATATATATTATAATTTTTCTAATCCCCGTCTTATGGAAAGTTGCCCCCCTATAGTAATAACTATCTGTATATTATAAAAAAATATATGCTATATTACATTAAAGGTTTAAGATGAAAAAAAATATTTATCTAAAGTTGTTTGAGACAATGATTTATACTTTAGAGTTGATACCACATCTTTTAACTTATGGATACATTACTCACTAGCATGAACATCTTCTTGTTGAAGCCAAAATATTTCTAGCGTCTCAAGTATGTTTAGAGTTTTTTGACACGAAATTTTTTATATCTCCATACTGACATACTCATGATTATTTCCTTTCTATTTTTGTCTAATTGTAGCAATGATTTATTCTTCAAATAAAGCATATATGACTTGTTGTTCATTTGGATGAACGAGAAATATATTAATATCCATTCGATTAGTGTGGTGAAGTTGTAAATATAATCACTCAATTCTACTATAACTCTTTGATTCTCCTCCTCCACTTAATTTGTAACTTGCAATTCATTGACATCGAGTGTCCTAATCTTGCAATGTTTAAAAGAATTGACAATTGTCTGTGGCTTCACATCAATTGACCATGCAACAACTATATTTACAATTCCATCAAGGACACTTATATTTTCTAGTTCCAAGACATGATATTCTATCCGTATCAAAAGTAGGCAATTGAAGCGTTGAATTTGAAATCCTAACACTATTAAAATATGAATTTAAATCCTAATACTATACTACTAAAACATGAAATATAAAATAAAAAATTTTTGTAACTATACCTCTATTAAGTAATAATCTCCTTATAGTATGTGAAAAGCTTGACAATTAATAGTATGTGAAAAAGACCAACAACAACAAGCACATTATGAGATTGAATTATTTGTACAACTTCTTATTTGAAACCGTGTAGGCCATATCACAATTCCAAGTATTGACCATTAATGATTATATATATATATATATATATATATATAGGGGTGTTCAAAAGAACCGGTTGGAACTGGAACTGACAGGTACCCGGGGTTTGGTTCCGGTTCCTACCCAGAACCAATTGTAAATGGATAGGTTCCGATTCCAAATTTTTGGAACCGTTATTTTGCGGTTCCGATTCTTATAGTTAGGAACTGGAACCAGGAACCAGGAACCGAGACTAATATAAAATAAAATTAAATATTAGGGGGGTTAATAAAAACTTTTGTAGAAAAAGTAATGTGAATACATTTATATTTATATTTCATAACATTTAAAGTAAGTTAGTTTGACTTTTGAGAATCTACCTTTACAAAGTAATGGAGTTTGTAATTTTGAATTTATAATTTGTAATTTTATTTTTGTTAACAAGTGCCAGGTGGGGGGGTATTTGTAAGTTTTTAAGGGTTTTTTTGCCATTTTAAAAACTTTTGGAGGGTCATAAATCTTACAGGGTACCCAGAACCGAAACCGAAACCATTGTTATAGGTTCTGGTTTTGGGTACCTAGGAACCGAAACTGTCGGTTCCTATTCTGGTTCCAAATTTCAAGGAACCGTCTATTCCGGTTCCTTCAAAAAGTCCAGAGTACCCAGAACCAAACACCCCTCTATATATATATATAGTATGTGAAAAACAATCCAACCACGTGAAAAGCTTGACAATTAATAGTATGTGAAAAAGACCAGCAACAGCAAGCACATTATGAGATTGAATTATTTGTACAACTTCTTATTTGAAACCGTGTACGCCATATCACAATTAAGTATTGACCATTAATGATTATATATATATATATTCTTTTATAAGAATATTAATATATATACATATAGTAGACAACTAGAGTCAAAGTCCTTTCGGAGCAAGTTGTCAACTGTAACAATTCGTTATAATTTTAGAAAGTTACACACACACATACATATATCAGGTTAATTAAATGTCTCTATTCAGATGTTATATTTTTACCTAGACATGCATATCTATTGATCAGAAAAAGTTTTAGAAACTAAAAGATGTATATTCTAATTAATTAATAAGTATAATAAATCTCGAATTTAATGAAATTAAATAGAATAAATTTACTAATTATTAAATGCAAAGTAAATGAATATAGATTGGCCTACACGGTTTCAAATAAGAAGTTGTACAAATAATTCAATCTCATAATGTGCTTGTTGCTGCGGGTCTTTTTCACATACTATTAATTGTCAAGCTTTATATGTTGTTGGATTGTTTTTCACATACTATTATTCTTCATCTTCTCCATGACGTGACTTAATTGTGAAAAAAATTATCCTTTCTTTCACATTGAATATGGGAGAATATCGGAAACCACCCCACAATTTTTGCTAATGACAAACTTATGACACTTTTTAGAGAAATAGTAAAAAACCACCCCTAAGCCCTAACTCCGTCCAATTCCTTTAACTTGCAAGGTGCAATCTTCGCTTTGTTTAGATTGGCAAATGGAGAAAGCTAAGGTTGGTTTTTTTTCCTGGATGCGAACTTCTATGACTTCTTCAGCTGGAAAAGAAATTATTAGGATATGTAATTTGTATTAGTAACAAAATTAATCATAATAAAACAACATTTTCTGAAGTAATTTCTCGATATTGTTCGGCTTTATCGGACGACACATCTCACTATATCATTGCAACAATCCTAATCGATCCAAAATATTAAGCAGTAAGAAGAAATAGTTATGTCATCCTGTCTTTTTAACTCATTTTGTTCCTTTAAAGTCTCTCGTCGGAAATTGAGTTAGTTTTGAACATGAAAAGAATCTACCAAGGATGATTCTTTGTCCTCTGTTGTGTTAATTAATATCTCTTTCCCTCTTGAATTTTTGGCATGTTCATTTTCTTGAGATAGGCAAGTGGAGATTGGTATTGGATATCCCTGCTCAATTTTTCTTTTTTCTTTTTATTTTGATTATTGATGGAGATTTTTATATATACAGGATAGAAAGTGCATTGCTGTTTGTTTTATTGCTTCTTACTTTAGACGTACTGAGTTGTCCCAGTTTGTCTAGAAATTTCAGACTCTTTATGAGCTATCTGCACTGTTAGTACCAAATTGCAAGGAAAAACTGTTTCATTGAAAACACATCCCTACTAACAATTACCCTAACCCTAGGGCGCTCTCCACAAGCTATAACCTTAGTTCCCTCTTGATATCAAAAAAAAAACACTAAGAGATCTTGGCTAATTCATCTTGGTATGTGTCATATGCAGCACATCCAAAGACTCTTAGGTGTTCAAGAGATGGTCTCCTTTCAGACCACTTTTCTTCAGGGCATTAAATCTATTGAGCTAGAAGGGCTCCTATTTTAAAGATATGTTGTACCTAGTGCTTTCCCCAAAAGGTTTTGGTAAACCAGCTGTGAATAAGAAACATCTAACCCTCTTAATAAGGGTTCTATTCATTCTCTCAACAACCCATTCTGGAGGGGTCCCCTAACTTCCTATGCCTCAAAATTCCCTTCTATAACAGTAAGAGTCAAACTCTAGATTACAGAATTCCAAGCCATTGTTGTCCTATAAGTTTTCACACTTCCTATTTACTTGGTTTTCAACCAGGTTTTCCTAGCCTTTAAACTTGGTTAAGGCTCATCTTTGGACTAAGCAGGTACACCATACCTTTCTGCTATAATCATCTATAATGGGAGGAAATAAATTCTTCCATGTGTTCTAACCCTTTAGGACCCCAAAGATTTGATGTACATAATCCAACCTTTTTCAGCCAGATGAGTTCCCTTTGGAAACTCATTCTGTCTGTTTTCCCAACACACAAACTTCACAGAAAGTTAATTCAGATATGGATCCTTACCAAAATAGCCTTGTTGGCTTAACATTTCATACCTTTTTGCCTATTGCCAAGTCTTAACATTTCTTCGCAACAGTCAGATTAGTAATGATAAAGCAGAATTTATAGTGAATGCACAATGTTGACCACACAGAATGTACAACCATTTGTTTGACTCCTTCAAGGAAAATTTCATATTCTTATACACAACTAGGATCTTTTTCTGCCTTATAACTACATCCAGCTTCACCAAAGTTCCTAAGGAAATCAGGTTCATTTAAGGTCAGTATATACCTTACTTGGTTAACATATGACTTTATCATTATTAACCTAATGGTTATATTTCCTTATCCTTGAACTTACAAGAGTGATATTACCATGAAACAGTTTCTAACTCTCCTTTCCTAAAAGTTTGGAACCATTGGATGTTTGGC